TATCAAAGAATGTCTTCTCTCCAGACTACATCAGCGCAGTCACGTACGAACACCTACTTGCTGGGTCAGCTACTACAGCATTCACGTTGTCTTCTATTGTATATTTAGTTGCTGGACATCCAGAAGTCGAGAAGAAGTTGCTAGAAGAGATTGACAACTATGGTCCATCAGATCAGATACCAACAGCTAATGATCTTCAACAAAAGTTTCCATATCTTGATCAGGTTAAGTAATTTGGGTTATGCTCTCGTTTCTATAGTTTAAGACCTCTCACATGAGAAGATTCATTGTTATCGTATTCTCTGAGGGCAGGTGATTAAAGAGGCTATGAGGTTCTACACTGTTTCCCCTCTAGTAGCTAGGGAGACATCTAAAGACGTGGAGATTGGTGGATATCTTCTTCCCAAGGTAATTCAATGAAAACCAACTGATGCATCTTTGTCTTCAAGCAACTTAGTGAATCAGTCTAACTAATTGAAAGACACTTCTTTTTAATGAGATTAGGGAACATGGGTTTGGTTAGCACTTGGAGTTCTTGCCAAGGATCCAAAGAATTTTCCAGAACCTGATAACTTTAAACCCGAGAGGTTTGATCCAGATGCAGAAGAGGAGAAACAAAGACACCCCTATGCCTTAATCCCGTTCGGAATTGGTCCTCGAGCATGTATCGGTCAGAAGTTCGCCCTTCAGGAATTGAAGCTCACTTTGATTCATTTGTATAGGAAGTTTGCATTTAGGCATTCCCTCTCCATGGAACATCCTCTTGAACTTGAGTATGGTGTCATTCTCAACTTCAAGAATGGTGTCAAGCTCAGAGTGATTAACCGTAAATAGAGGGTATTACATTGACTATGGCCAAAATCTTATAGGCTGTGAGAATCTAATTCTATCAGTTTGTACGCTAAGTGTCAATCATCAAAGCTATGTCAAAAGAAGGTTATGTATGTTTCTAAAATATATATTCTCCCCAAAACCATCTTTGGTGTTAGTTACTACCTGAAATTACATAAACAGAAAATCTTCTTTGATCGAAAGGATCTGATCCAGATAGTATAAAGCTTAGGCCAAGAGTTCTAAACAAAATTTGCAGAAGTGGCAAAAACAAGAGCTATAATACAAAGAACGAGCCATTCTCCATTGGATCTGACACAATACAACTCTGTCGAATGATTCACAATTTTGATGGCAGGAATTAAGAAATAAGGGAGTGAGAACACTCTTCTACAATGAACAGAAACAGGTTTCATCTCACAGCTAATTGTTCATGACCTTAGCTTTGTTCCATTCTTATCCAATCGTGTAGACAGCATGAATGGCTTAAAGGGGTTGACTGATGAATCAGAGCCAGCACTGCTCTTAGAGTCCCCATTAGAGAAACCTGCTGACTTCTGAAGGAACTGATACTCATCCATGGACTGCCTTTGAACTCGATGCGATAAGTGACTGTTTGTTTTCTGCTTCACCTTCGTTGACTCTGTAGGGTTCATGTAACTTGGCCTACTGTAACTGCTATTCTCAGGTCTTTCAATGGTTGAGAAAACATTCCCCGATGCAGGAGTTGTCGACGTGCAGATCGAAGATGAAACAGAGCTCTCATCGTACCGGAAATCAGAACTTGGGCTAGAACAAGAACGAGCTTGCCCACTTGAGGGAGGTTTAGCAGATATCCTAGTGGATACATTGTTTCTCCGAATCTTCACCAAACTTGGTTCAGAAACTATGGAATGTTTAGGTACAATAGACTCTATACATTTCTTTGAAGGTGGTGGAGTGACCTCAACGGAATCAGTGCGAGATTGTTCTTTCAACATTGTCTCCCATGGCTTAACTGCCATCCATCTCTCCAACCAACTCCATCCCCAATTGTTCTTGTCGAACTCGGAACTCTTAAGAGCGTAAATCGATGCATTTATTTGTGAAGTTGAGTTTGGTGTTGCCTTCAATTGCTGGAGAGCAAAAAATAAACACAAAAACCAAACTGAGATATTATTTCTCAAAGGAAAAACCGACACGCGATACACGATCGTAAGTATCTCGACTATCATACCTTCTGAACAAGAGAGTAAGCAATTGCTCTTTCCCTCTTAAATGCTCCATATTGCTTCATTTGTAACTTAGCTTTGATATCTTCCATTGTCCCTTTGCTATCACACCAACCTTCCTGCAAATGAACCAAATGCTTACTTTAGTTCTCAATGGCGATGTTTTGATATACAATTCATAATAACATCTTCTACTTGTAATTATGACAACCTCAGCTTGCTTTAGGAGATCAGCCTTGCTGCGATGTTCATTAAGCAATTGCTGCACAGCCTGCCCCTCAACCGACATCCTCACATGACGTGCTCGGACACGAGCTTGGATTCTAACCAGAGCCTGCATGCACCTCAGTGTAATAGCTGCCTGCTTCCTCACCAAACGACCCCTCACCAGAGCTTGAAGCCTCACCACTCCCTTCAAGGCTCTAAGAGCCCTCCTAGACTACAAAAAGTTCCACGACCAAATCAGTAAAGAACTTCCCATGGTGTCCTAAACAGAGTTAGAAACTTATTAGTATGAAGAGGAAAGAGTTGTACCAAGAAACCACGAAATGCAGTTTGGATCCGAATTGCAGCCCATTCTTGGCGGACAACCCTGAAATTCTTGGGAGGAGCACGGAGGACGGCGGCGACGGCGGCCGTAAAAGAATCAGGCGCTCGAGGAGAATCAGAGCCTTCAGAAGCTGCTTTATGTGCCCCTTTATAACCCTTCCATACAGAGCTCAAATCCCCTGAAGGGCTCCTCCATAGCCTCCATTTCTTAGTTTTACTACACAACTTCTCCTGTAAAAAACACAGAAACAAACAATCACCATTGCCAAGCTTCAAAAACAGATTGGAAAAGAAAGAAAGAAAGAAAGAAAGAAGAAATCCAAAATCCAGCTCACGTTGTCGTCCTTCTCAGACTTCCTCTGTCCTGTAAAGACCTTCCTCCATTTCCCAGAACCCCCCATCAAATCAGAGAAGAAACAGAGCAATGAGTATTAAATGATATCAAATAGTCAAAGCTTTAGAGGCAATGGTTATCTGGAGGACAGAAAAGAAGTCCAGCCTTTTTGAGCAGAGGAACAATTCAAAATCGTTGAAAGAGAAATGGGTTTAGTTTTGTTCGTGGGAAAGTGGAGGGTTCATCGACAACCAACCACAGCTTCCCATTTGAATTTCAAAATATAACAATGGAGGGAGGGAGGGAGGGAGGGAGGGAGGTCGCTTAGTGGGGCTTCCTCCCGCTCCATTTCAATAGGCCATAAAGGTTTCTTTTTTACTCTTGGGCTTTTACAATATTACGAAATTACCCCACCCTCGATTTCCCCGCAAAAAAACAAACAAACAAATCTTCCATGAAAAGTCACGCTAGAAAGCACGGGTAGATAGATGATAGCAGAAGCAAAAACACGTAGGAGACCAGAAGCCCTCTTTTTCTCTTTATTTCATCAGTTTCTCGTAGGTGATTCCCCACCGTCCGATCTCACCCATCCCTTTGGAATCCAATGCTCTGTCAATAGGAGTAGTTCTACTAGGACGAACCTGGAGGGCATGGCATGTGACACTTGGGTAAAAAGGAAGGTCAAGCCGTCGTCCAAATGATATTATGATTAAGAAAAACTATCGAACTATATTCCATAATCTCTTAAAAATAAGTAATTTTGAAATTGGGAGAAAATTACAATGTTTACAAATTTTATTCCAAGTCAACCCATAAATTGATTTTTAAAAAACTTATGTGCATTTTTGTCGTTATCGATACACCATTAATAATAAAAACTTTTGTATTTCAAAATTAAAAAAATATTTTATGAAACACAACAAAATAATTAAATATCACTATTTTAAATTCAAATTTCAAAAAAAAAGACAATGAACTGTGCATATCTATAATATATATATATTAATCTGGGTTGTTCTATTGGACGCCATGCTGGTAACGTCTGTGTCGACCAACGAAATCCAACGGCACCTGTTTTTTTCTTCTTCTTTTCTTTTCTTTTCCAAATAAATTATTGTAACTACATTTTTTAATAAATAAAATAATGGAGTAATTAGAACTTTAGAAGACACCAGACTTGCCGACATTAATAAAAGTTCAACATTTGTAATTATTTTATTTTTTTAATTAAGAAACCAAAGGAAGCTTTATATATTTATATGATTTAATTATTATTGGATTGGCGTAGCCTTCACCCTTAATTTCTTACATTAAAAAAATCCCCATACTCCCACTTCAAAAGTCAACCAAACTAATTGAAATAAATATTAATAAATATATATTTGTCACGTAAGTAAGTGGTATAATATATCCCATAAAAATACACGTTAGCTCCACTCAAATATCTTCATTTTTTTAAAATATTTTAATTTTTTTTGTACATATTATATTATTGTTAATTTTTTTTCTAAACTTATTTTAAAAACAAAGTAAAAAAAAAAAAAGATTTTTCTAAAATAAATTTAAAATAATTTATTTAGTTCAACCCAATTGATATTTTTCTACTTAGCTATGCTCGAATTCGTAGAAAATAACCATTAATATCTAGTTCATCAGTTATTTCCTTTAGAAGGGCAATGATGTAGTTGTTATAAATTATTGGGGTTTAATATCAAGAAAATCTCCCATTCCTTATGAGATGAATAGCAAACAAAGATATGGGGACAATAATTTTTGCAATAATTAATGATGAACAAGAACAAAAAAGAAAGAAAGAAAAAGGAACAAAAGGGAAGGAGCCAATTGGAAATCACAGCGTGGCAATGTGATTATCTTGATTGAAGATGATTAAAGAGTAGTTTCAGTTTTGTAAGGTTTAGTTTACTTTAATTTGTTAACAGTGATGGTGGTGATTCGGATGGGCGACAAAATGGAGATGGAATTAGAAAGGGAATGAAGGCATGTGGGGTGGTGGTGGTTTGATATATAAAGGCCCCCATCATCTGTTCTTCCCAATTCTAATTGCCTTTTTTTTCTCCATTCCTTCAACATCCTCAAATTCAAAACAAACCTTCTCTCTTGTTGTCTTTTTGAGTAATGGGGTTCTGAAATTCCCTTTTGTTTTGTTTCTCCTTTTTTGGGAAGACTTTCAATCCTTCACCGTATATATATATATATATAAAGAAAAGGGTATAATCTGTAGAAGATACCGCCGCTACTGCCTTTTCCCAATGTTTCTTCACCATTTATGTTAACAAACACTTCGATCGTGAATGGAAGCGAACAATTCAAGAAGCAAGTTCAAGAGAGTCTGCGTCTTCTGCGGCAGCAACTCCGGCCATCGGAAAGTCTTCAGCGATGCTGCTCTTGATCTCGGAAATGAACTGGTTAGCTTCTTCTCCAATCCATTGAGTTCTACCATTGATTGCGTTATTAGGGTATTTCTTAAGCTATTTTGTTCTTGTTTCTGTGGTTTCCATTTACAGGTCGCGAGGAAGATTGATTTGGCGTACGGTGGGGGTAGTGTTGGGCTGATGGGTTTGATATCACAGACTGTATACGATGGAGGCTGCCATGTTCTTGGGTAGGATAGATCCAAATTTGGGCAGTTTTCTATGCAAGAATCGAATGTATTATTGATTCATGTTTTGATGCAGGATCATTCCAAAAGCTTTGATGCCCCATGAGGTATATAAGCTAAGTTTGTTTCTCCATTTTAGTGTCTCTAAACTCATTAACATGTCTCTGTAAATTGTGTTGGATGATCCTGGTAGATTTCTGGACAAACTGTTGGGGAGGTAAGAACAGTTTTGGACATGCATGAGCGCAAAGCTGCAATGGCTCGAGAATCAGATGCTTTTATTGCTCTTCCTGGTAACTCTCCACATAATTGTAGCTAATTGAAGCTAATTGTAGCCAATAGTGCGTTTAATGGATTGTTATTTGTTTTAGGAGGGTATGGAACAATGGAAGAGCTGTTGGAAATGATAACGTGGGCTCAACTGGGTATCCATAAGAAACCAGTAAGCGTAGCCTTTGCAAATTATGTGGTTGAAGGTTCTATGTTAAGCTTAATTACTCTGCGCAGGTTGGGCTGCTTAATGTCGATGGTTACTACAACTCTTTGTTGGCTCTGTTTGATAATGGCGTTGTGGAAGGTTTCATCAAGCCTGGTGCTCGAGAGATTGTGATATCTGCTCCAACAGCAAAGGAACTCATGGAGAAAATGGAGGTATCTATCTGAAAACCAAAGGCTTTCTAATTCTGTCTCTGAAAACCAAAGCCATTCTAATTCTTGGTTTGTGCAGGAACATACTCCATTCAGTGAGCACATTGCTCCACATGAAAGCTGGGAATTGGAGCAGCTTGGTAACGACCATAAACCATGACTGATAAGTGGTAATGGGTCTTCATTTTTAATGTCATTTTTAATCATGAATGGGAAACCTGTTGTGATGGGGCCATAAGTGGTTCATCATTGTGTACTTGTGTTCTTTGTGATTTGAGTTCTAATAAATGCCTCTTTCTGATTACAAAGTGAACCGGTTATATCTAGTGAACTGGTCATGTAATAGTTCCTACTCACCGCTAGTAGATATTGTTCGATTTAGTCCGTTACAATATCACCGTTAACCTCACAGTTCTACTAGGGAGAGGTTTTCACACCCTTACAGAAAATGTTTTGTTTCTCGCTTCCACCGATGTGGAATCGCATAGGTCACTACTTTCAAGGCCTCGTCCCACAAGTTTAATGCTCTTGTGGACTTCATATATACGATAGGTTACTTATTTTTCATATTATCCTGTTGAGTGCTTCACTGATTATAATAGCACCTTGTAATTCAACTTGTTTAAAGGTCCATAGCTATACTGAGCGTGAAGGACAAACTGAATGATTCAGATGCTTCAGCTGTCTTTAAGTTTGAAAACGAATGGATATGATTTCATATGCTCCTTTTTTGGACAAAAGTGAATATTATATCTTTTCCTAATTGTGATGTACAACTCATGAGTTGATAGACACCAAAGCCACCTCATTGATCAGGTAAATCATCCTTAACTTCCCATTTGGAGGAGAGATCCGATGACAACCCAAATTCCCCGCTAGCATATCTAGTCTTCTTTTGACCTTTTTTTTTTTTCGGACTTTTCCTTAAGGTTTTAAAAAGCGTCTACTCAGGAGAAGTTTCCACAACCTTATAAGAAATGTTTTGTTCCCCTCTCCAACCAATACGAGATCTTACAATCCACCTCCCTTGGAGGCCTGCGTCTTTGTTGGCACACTATTCGGTGTCTGGCTTTGATAATCTTTGTAACTGCCCAAATCTACTGTCGGCAGATATTGTACTTTTTGAACTTTTTCAGGAAAAGGTTTTCAACCAATATGAGATCTCACGTACCGAAATATCAATACATAGACAAACAAAAGCAGCCGAAACCAAAATTATAGGAAACCCAATGGTCTGTCACCTCTGGAAATCCAGTTCATCATAAGTTAGCTTTATTTGACAAGCTTGGCCTCATGTCAGCCTGCCAAAGTGTCACATGGGTTTTTCAGGTTATCGCCCATTCCCGCAGCAGGTGTAGGGCTTTTGTGTTGTGGGTATCTTTCCCGTAGTCCTATGAGGAAGTCTTGCTATCAATCACATGGCTGGTTGTGATTGGAAGAATCGTAAACTAAGGAATTTGGAGATGGAAGCTTGGGAAAGATGTGTTGTTGAATGCTGGGTTTCTTTTTTTGTCATTAAAGAGTTATTGGTAATGCAAACACAGAGTGGTGAGTGTGAAGAAACGACACGAGGGGCCTGCGTGTATTAAGTGGTAGAAACTAAGAGAGTGGATGGTTTTGGCTCATGGGGGGGCCTTTTCTTTCTACAATGAGTCCCCACAGCCTACAGAACTGCTTGCTGCTCTGCTAGACATGTTTGTTCGCAATAATGGAGATCGTGGAAAGCTGAGGTTATCAGATAATGGATCCATCTCCCTCAACTCATCTTTGTCTGAAACGCTGAATGTTATCGCTTCGGCGTTCCAAGTAGAAAGAAAGAACGGATGTGGTTGACTCTTCTCACCAATTATCTTGACAAGTTGAAACATTAGACTCTTGACCAAAGATATCTGTAACAGTTTAAGTACACCGCTAACATATATTGTCTTCTTTGGACTTTCCCCTTCGAACTTCCATTCAAGGTTTTTAAAGTGCATTTGAAGGGATTTCAATACCCTTATAAAAAATGTTTTATTACTCTCTCTAACTTATGTGAGATCTCACAATATTATAAACTTGAATTTCCAAGAAATTAAGTGATATTTTGAAGAATTAAATAAATATTTAGTACTGGAAAATAAATGGTTGAACAATCTTCATAAATTGACTAAGATCATGATAATCATCATTCTTCAAAATTCATACATTATAATGGGTAATTGGATATTATGAAATGGCCTCAGACATTGAAACAATCAATCAAAGGAGATCTCGAAACATGTGGTGCCTAAGCAAGCAAGAAGGTATAATTCTAAAAAACACACCCATGAGAAAGTGGAGTGCATTTCCAAATTCCAACTCAGATCAGAATATGTTCATGCCTGGATGGACTACTCCCACATTGGTATATCTACACATGAACCGTCTTCACGGTCTTCAAGCGTCAGCCTTGGCTTTTGATGATAACATCATATTCTGCAATGTGGTTGTCTGAATGATTGCACTGGGGCTTGAATCTCGTAGGCGCACAGATGATCCAGATCTATGCCCAAAGCTCCTATCCACACCACTTCGCTTAAATCGTCGGTATAGCCAAGTAAGATGTCGGGTCAGTCGTGCTGAACTCACAAGCAGAATAACACCTGTGATGATTAGCAGCCTGTATACAGAGAAAGTCTTGCATAAATAACATTAACCCACAAAGGCAGATTAACATGTATTCGACGTTCGTATATACCAAAGACCATTCTTTTCTAGGAGGAAAAAACAGCAATTAAGCATCCAATTGTCAATCAATCTTCACTAGCTAACCCTTTCCAAGTATTTAATGCACTGGACCCTCGAAATCGTCCAGTCAGTTATCATAAACACGGAATGTAGTTAACGATTTTCTTTATCAAATCAAGGTAGTGATGTAGAAACCATAGAACAGGTATGTATTTCTAGTTTACCATCCCAGCAGAAGGAAGAGGCGAGCAGTCGGTGACGAGGGCAATTCTTCACCCAAAGCAAGCATACCAGCAACGACACCAGTGACGATAGATGCCACAGCAGCACATGTAGACACCACAATTGCCCTCCCATGTTTTAGTCCTCGAGTCTACTAAAGAAAAGACAACATCATTATGAACTAGAACAACACAGGCAAAAGCTGTCAATAAAACAATGAACGTTAAATGCAGAACAGAATGGTAAAGAGATCAAATCACCAAGAGTTCGAAGTACCTGATAGTAAAATCCTGTAGCACTGCAACAAATACTTATCAGGATGCATATCGGTACCAATATTTCGTGGAAGCCCTGCTCCAAGAATAAGAATCCCATTTTTGATATTACAGATGCCATCCTGCAATTGCAGATTTAAATTGTAACATTTTGCTGATACGAATCTGAAAAGCTGATTGGATTATTTCCCTTTCAAAATGTTGCATGGAAATAGTTCTCCAGAGAAAAGAGTGGAGTCGATCAGGCTCGACGCAAGCCATAGATGTGTAAACGACTAAAAACTCTATAGCATGCTTATACTCCACTCCTCAAACATCATGACCGTATACAGTCAACCATAACAATTATAGAACTACTAAAAGTTCCTCTTTTTTCATTTTCTAATCCATCCTGACCGTCGAAAGAAAAGCTGGCTAAGATTCAACTTGAGACAAACTAGGATACCACCGCGATCGGGCAGGAGCCATGATTCCTCACAGTCGAGCAAAGTTCTAATACCTATTAGTCGTCCTCAACCATAATAATTGCAGGAAATGTATTCCATCAAGCAAAAGAGTGCAAGCCAGAACAGTACCCGAACAAAATGCCAGATTCTAAGCCGTATATTATTTCTTCGACAACTTCAAATTCCATCTGCAACATATATACATGTGTAACATATTATTTTTTGGGAGGACAAGAAAACCAGTGAAAAGTCAATACTAAATCAATGAATTTACCAACTCTTGTTCTTTCCTTTGACGTTTGTAGAAATGAAGCCATCCGCTAAGAAGAACCTGTTAGAACATAGAGATATACCCAATCATTTCTAGAACTCAACACATTCATCTTTTACAGCTTAATTTACAGAGTACTAGAAGGTTATATTTCTGCAAGCAAGACCATAAAACTAAACTAACATAAAAATCCTTATCTAGTTTACATGGCCAGAGATCTTTATAAACCGTAAGGTGTCAATAATATAAGATACCTACAAACAAGATGGTAATGATGAAAGCTAGCCATGGCAAATGGAAAATCGATATCGCAGACACCTTTTGCTCCTCGCCTCCAGCACCAACCCCTTGAAATGAAACCCAAAAAAACGGCCAAGTAAATTACAGAAGTAGGAAGGAATATGCAACAAAAAGCTGAGATACAAGACATGAGATAAACCTCAGATGCATAAAATGAACTTTAAAAGACAGGAAAGGCAAGAAAAAAGGATCAAAACAATAGTTAGCTTAATGACACAAAGATGAACTTACATTACCTATGGTGCCAATGCCAGCAAGCGTAATCCCCATCCAATCGACAGCATTCATTATTTCCTTGAGATAAAAATGTGAAAAAATAGAGAGGATGGCAAGTCCACATCCAGAAACTGGTTGAATTATAGAAACCTGAAAGACGGAAATTAGAAAAGAATTGCATATTTCGGGGAAGAAAGTCCGTGCTACATTGACATTAACTGTATGAATTTTCCTGTGAGGTATGGATTCTTGGGAAAGAAGTAATCTACAAAATGGTTTTGTAACATCAAATTAGAGATGAAATATTTAGGTTACATGCTGTTTTCATAGTGATAGACAATACATAATGACAAGGGAAGTCACTTAGGCATCAAAACAGCAATTGATATTTCCATCAGCCAAGATCCAATAAACCAATGCCGATCAAAAACCGAAAAGAAAAGGGCGTAAGTAGCTGAATAAAAGACTTACAGGGGCGAGGGATAACGCTCTCAGCATTAGAACAGCTCCAAATATATCCATCAGAAAACCTATGATCCAAGTTTTGTTAAAAGCGTAAGCCCTTATCACCTATACAACACAAACAACAAGAGGAAATTCATCAACGCGTTCAATGAATTCGCTATAAGAAAGTTTACATTCAGAATACAACCCAATGAAATCGGAAAGTAAAGAAAAGTTGAAGATCAAATAAGATCAACATCAAAGAAATACAGTACAACTAGCCATCGCAGTTGAATGGAGAAAAAGAAGACGAATCGCATGAAATTGGATGGCCCAGAAGGAAATGTCGGGAAAAACACAACGCCCGTTGACATGGAGAAAGGAAATTGAAAAGAAAAGGAGAAACCGTACCTTGAGCTTGAAAGAGAGAGGAGGAAGAATGACGGTGCCCTTCTTCTGAATAATTTTGCCGATATTGTTGCCGGCGGCGGCGGCCAGAGTTAAACAAATGGGTTCCCACATATCTTCCTTGAAAGCCGAGAAATCGAAACACAGAGAAGAATCGAAAGAGACGGGGAAGAATAAATCAAGAAATCGGAGAGTACGGTTATGGTTGGAGGGTGAATTGCGATTTACGTCAGAGCATTGCCTCCAAATTTTTGCGCCAACGACGGAACTTTGTCCTTTTGCCTGTTTCTATCCCTTGCATTTCTAGCTAAACCAGGCCCTCAACAAAGCCCGTGGGATGTCATCACGTGCGGTTCATATGTTCCTTCACTCTTTTCACCTGCCTACGTGTCAACTTTTTATTGGCTGATGGAGCTTATTTTCTTCAACCATACTAATTATTAAAAACGGGTCTATGGTTGTCCTGACACACAACCATGACTCTAATATCATTTGTAGTCCACTACCGGTAGATAACCAATCTCTATTAGGGGTCAATATTTCACTGGAACATAATTCAGTATCCAATCATTCACCTCTTTAATCCATATAAGATCTCACAATTCATCTCTTAGGTAAGTGTACATTGCCCAATATCTGGTTCTAATATCATTTGTAACGACCCAAGTCTAATATTCTAATAGATATTGTTTATTTTAACCCGCAAAGTATCACCTAGCCAATAATCCACTGGTTCATGTTCTTCCAAACAGAAAAGCTGAGCTTAATCAACGCTTTGAAATGTCTGATCAATAATAAACAACAGTGAACGCACCACGAACACGCCACCGAAACTTAATTCCAAAAGTCAGCCAATCCAAGCGCTGAGAAACGCTGGGAAACGAAGAAAATCAAATCCGGACCCCACATTTTCCATCATTCCCCAGGGATGTGCTCTTCAAATTAACCATTCTTTTCCTTTTTAAGATCAAACCCTTTAAATTTCCTCCTCTCCCAATCCCCATGGAAGATTACAGGTCGCGTGGAAATGGGTTCGGCGGGCACATCAACACAGAGAGCAACTACGTCACAAACCCTGGAAGCTCATACGAATTGAGGTCATATTCCGCGTCTTATGCGCAGACCCAGATGGAGATGAAGAAAGGGGAAAAGGGTTGTGGGTCTTTCCCCAAGTCTTGGAGCTTATCGGACCCTGAATTTCAGAGGAAGAAGAGGGTTGCTAGCTACAAGATGTACTCTGTGGAAGGCAAAATGAAGGGGTCTATCAGAAACAGCTTCCGATGGCTGAAGCGCAGATGCGAACAGGTGGTTTATGGGTGGTGGTGATTCATTTGCCTCTCTTTCTCCTTAATCTCTGTAAGTGCTTTCTCATCATAAATAATTCCAACAATTGTAATGTTCATCTTGATAAGAACACTTGGAATTGAATGTTTGAGATTTTGAGATGCTGGGATTTGTTGTGGATAGAACAGAAGTGGTTTGATTTTAGCAGCCTGGTACCTCAGAGTTTCATAGCTTGATGACTGATTCAATGATTTTACATTTCAAACCTCATGCTTTTGTTTCAAATTTGTGAAGGTTTTAACCAACTTTGGATAGATAGACACAGTCCCACATCAGTGGTTACATGTGGATAAAATGTGGTTCGTTTTTTGGACGGCTTTAGGTCTAAAGTGGACTATGTCGAGTGTAGATAAAAGTTATCCAAGAGCTCACATCGATGTGAAGGTTTGACACCTCGACGTGGGCTCTTTGCCGCATAGGGCTGTAGCATGTTACAAGGGTTGGGTTGTTGATCCATTCAAACAGTATGTGAGCTGGGTTCATAACGTCGTGAGATATCAAGAGGCCACGAAGAGATTGTTATTAACGTACATTTTAGTTTGATGCAGTTTTCGTGCTAGGTTCTCGAGTTGCTTTGAAGCTTTTTCACGCATCATTGTTCCTCAAAACCATTCACGCTTACTCATGTTGTTTGTTTGTTCGTTCTATTATAGTCAAATGAAGGGTTGGTTGGTTTATAATGACTTAAATTATCTTTTAAGCTGTCACAGTTTGGACTTGGACTTTGAGACTGAACATTGGTCTGGGCCCATTGGGCCTAGTTCTAGTATAGGCCCATTTCAAATATGGAAGTAAAGCCCAATTCAAGCCTACAGGAATGGAAAGAAAGGGATGGGCCCACACTTTGTGTTTGGGCTTTAAGACTGAAACATTGGTCTGAGTCACATTGGGCCTAGTTCTAGTAAAGGCCCATCTTCAATTCCCACTTAAAGCCTACAGGAACGGGAATAAATGGATTATAATAAAGCTTACGGCCCAAAAACCTAAATTTAGGTGAAATTTCATTTATGCCCCCAATGATTTGGGCTTACATCAATTAAAATTCAAAACTACATATTATATAAATTTAAACAGATTAATATAATTAGAAATAAACGTAGGAACCAAATAGATATTACTGATTTTTCTTTTCTCTATGTTTTTTAATTGATTTTTAAATGAAATAAAAAATAAATTACTAAAAATAGTCTAAATTGATAATATAAATTAATTATTATTTTTTTAATTGGTTGGTCTTATATAATAAAACTGGTGAAAAATGGGTCCACAACTTTTTTTCTATTTTTTTTTTTATTTGTTTATGCTTTTGGTACGTTTTTATTAATTTAATATATTCTCACTCTTTTTTTCTTTAGATAAAAATTGATTCCCATTCAGTACAACGTTACTAACAATAACTTTAATGAATTAATATTTTAAAATTCGAATTTAAACAAATTTAACTTTAATGACCATGGTTAAACAAGGGTGGGTAAATAAAGATGAAAAACTCTCCGACCATCGTGGTCAGGTACCCAACCAATGGAGGGAGGAAGCATGAGAGATGAGATGATGTGCATGGTGGGCGGCAAGCAGCAGAGGCAGCGGCTGCGGCAGCCGATCCGTGGCGGTGCCGCTGCAGGAAAGCCAGTTGCATGGCGTCAAACTGTCAGCTTGCCTCCGCCATAACTTCATCCACAGACTTAAATCTGCCCATATCTTTGACTGCCTCTCCATCATCTTCTGTGCCCATTTTCATTCCCCTCGTCCATTTTCCCATAATTCATGTCATTTTGTATTTGGCCTTTTCCATCTCCCTCTAATATTCTTATATCTATACAACTTTCTAAGACCGCACAACAACGCACGCACTCGATCAAGAAGAACACAATAAATTCAATGAGTTATGTCTACCCTTCTTTGTTTTGACTCGAAAATATCCGAGGGACATCACTAAGGCAGGTAGCTAGTGCGGGTATAATTAAAACCAACCCAAGCGTATCTGGGTTTATTTAAATTCGGGAGTATCAAGTTTATGCAAAACTGTACCTCACACTATTGAGGACATATTCTATTTATATTGGCAAAAGATTAACTAATAGATCCGATTTCATAGGAAACTAACGAAGTAAGCCTATTCTTATGGCATGACTAACTTCAAGCTATTCTAATGGATTGACCAATTCTAACAGTCCCCTTCAATCCCAACAAGTCTTGTACATGTTGAGATTGTTACAATGTGTAGTAAAAGGAGTTTTAGACAGTGGTTTTGTCAGGATATCAGCTACTTGATCACTTGATGAAATGAACCGAACTTCCATTGCTTTACGTGCTACTTGTTCTCGAACAAAATGAAAATCAACTTCAATATGTTTCGTTCTAGCATGAAATACTGGATTTGAAGTTAAATATGTAGCTCCGAGGTTGTCACACCAGAGGCGAGGAGCCTTTGATTGATACACGCCCAGTTCCTTCAGTAATGACTTGATCCAAATCATTTCTGCAGTAAGATTCGCAATGGCCTTGTATTCTGCTTCGGTGCTTGATCTTGACACTGTAGCCTGTTTTCTGGAACTCCATGAGATTAGATTTGCTCCAAGAAATACAGCAAAGCCGCTAGTTGAACGTCGATCATCGGGACAACCAGCCCAATCAGCATCAGAAAACCCCGACAACATCATGGTTGATTTCTGAATTTTCACTCCTAATGCTAGTGTGCCTTTAACATAACGAAGAATTCTCTTCACAGCACCCCAATGAGCATCAGTAGGTGTATGAAGATATTGACACACTTTATTGACAGCAAATGCCAAATCAGGCCTAGTCATTGTCAAATATTGTAGTGCTCCCACTGTACTTCTGTATTTGAATTGTTCTTCAGCTGATAAGGGTATTCCTTGTTCTCTGAATAATTTTTCAGCAGAACCCATTGGTGTAGACATAGGTTTGCATTTTTCCATGTTTACTCTTTTCAACAAATCTAAAGCATATCGTCTCTGTGACAGTATGATACCATCTCGTGTTTTCTTGACTTCAATACCCAGAAAATACTCAAGATCACCCAAATCTTTTACTGCAAAATCTATTTTCAATTTCTGAATCAACCTTTCGGTTGCTTGATCAGAGGAGCTCACAATAATTATATCATCAACATAGATGAGCATATAGATAGTTATCTCTCTGTTTTTGAGAATAAAAAGAGATGAATCAGCTACTGAAGCCTTGAAGCCTAACTCAATAAGTTTTCCAGTCAACCTTGAATGCCAAGCTTTTGGGGCTTGTTTCAGGCCATAAAGGGCTTTCTTGAGCTTGCATATGTAATTCTTTGGTTTGGCTGAGTCTTGAAATCCTGGTGGTTGTCGCATGTACACTTCCTCTTTCAGAATTCCATGCAAAAATGCATTTTGGATATCAACTTGTCTCATATTCCAGCCCTTGGTTACTGCTAGCGAAAGAATGACCCTGATTGTTGACGGTTTGATCACAGGGCTAAAAGTATCAGTGTAATCAACACCAAATCTTTGCTTGAATCCTTTGGCAACTAATCTTGCTTTTAATCTTTCAACTGACCCATCTGCTTTTCTTTTCACTTTATACACCCATTTACTATCAATGAGATTTATTCCAGGTTTGGGTGGAACTAGATCCCAAGTGGCATTTCGTTTTAGCGCTGAGAGCTCATCATTCATTGCTCCTCTCCATCTTGAGACTCCAAATGAGTCGAGCCTCGATTAAGGGGAGGCGTGCTTTGTTCGAGGGGAGGTGTTGGATGATGAAAGTCCCACATCGGTTAATTTAGGAAATGGTCATGGGTTTATAATCTAAGAATACACTTTCCATTGGTATGAGGCCTTTTGGGAAGCCCAAAGCAAAGCCATGAGAGCTTATGCTCAAAGTGGACAATATCATACCATTGTGGAGAGTCGTGTTCGTCTAACATGGTATCAGAGCAATGCCCTAAACTTAGCCGTGCCAATAGATTGGCAAATCCTTAAATGTCAAACAAAGGACTCCAAAAGGAGTCAAGTCTCCTCGAAGGTACGAAGGCAGTCAAAAATGACTAAGACTCCAAATGAGTCGAGCCTCGATTAAGGGGAGGCGTGCTTTGTTCGAGGGGAGGTGTTGGATGATGAAAGTCCCACATCGGTTAATTTAGGAAATGGTCATGGGTTTATAATCTAAGAATACACTTTCCATTGGTATGAGGCCTTTTGGGAAGCCCAAATTGGTCAATCCATTAGAATAGCTTGAAGTTAGTCATGCCATAAGAATAGGCTTACTTCGTTAGTTTCCTATGAAATCGGATCTATTAGTTAATCTTTTGCCAATATAAATAGAATATGTCCTCAATAGTGTGAGGTACAGTTTTGCATAAACTTGATATGGTATCAGAGCAGAAATAAGATCCACGAGATCCATAGCCTCTGCTGTTAAACATGTCAATCCCAATCAACACAATGTCTTCTCCGTCGATCAGTCAGGTGATTAGTGTTAAGCTTACACAAGAAAATTATCTACTGTGGTCTACCCAAATCCTTCCCTACTTGCGTAGCCAAAACCTTGTTGGTTTTGTGGATGGATCCATGCCTGCACCAAGCCAGACGATCGCCGTTGAACCAAGTGAAGAAACAGGGAATCGCAAAATTATCATCAACCCTGAGTTCACAGTCTGGTACCCCCAGGACCAGCTGGTACTCAGCCTCATCAACTCATCAGTCACTGAGGAGGTTCTCAGCACGATGGTTGGAATCACCACTGCACGAGAAGCCTGGATTACGCTGGAGCGACAATTTGCTTCCACATCTCGAGCAAGAGCAATGCAGATCCGTATGGAACTCTCTACTATCCAGAAAAAGGACATGACAATTGCTGACTACTTTCGTAAAGTAAAACATCTTGGTGATACACTTGCTGCCATTGGCAAGCGAATAGAGGATGAAGAACTCATCGCCTACATGCTGCAAGGACTTGGTCCAGATTATGATCCTCTAGTCACAAGCATT